TCCTCAGCTCACTGTCCTCGTCTCTAACCCTTTTTTGTTGCTCATGTTGTACCAATAAGCCAATGCCTTCACCATCAAAATAATGATATAATTTAATGTTGTTTTTGTTACATGTTTTCTCTTCAATAGGTACTACAGAACAAGTTTTGTTTTGAAGGCACATGAATTATCAGATCTATTAATCATTTCCATGGTTTTTCCTTGTGTTACATTACATCCAAAGCCAGAGCATTTTCCAACAAGAATATCAAGGGTAAGAATATCAAGGGCGCGTCACCGACTAGGGTACCGAATTCCACGTTATCCTTATTGAGACTTGTACCGAATTCTGAGTTTAGTTTCTAATTTGAAAATCTTAGACGGGGAGGAAGTTATGTTTACAGGTTAACATTTATTGTATCTAACTGCTTTCTTTGATTAAGAAAACTTTTCTTTTTCTATATGGGATTTTTTTTAATTAATTGGATAGGAGTGTGAATATAAATAATATCTAATTTTTTTAATTTAAGTGTGAGGATGATGATAAAAATATATTTTTCAGTTTCATTTTCTTTTCTTTATATGTTTTCATTGGGAGGTATTTATGTTAGGTATACATTGTATGATCGTTCGGTCAGTCATATATAGGATAATTAGTTGTTATGGAGACATATAAACAAATCACTATTAAGATCACAAGGTTGAGGAGTTAGACTAATCAATCAATAGTCAAGACGATTAACGTTAATATTGAATAACTTAAAAGATAAAGTGTGATTACCAACAATTCGACTATAAATTAATCAAAAGTCCACTCCAAAATTTATAAATATAGGTTTGAGGTAAGGAGATAAGTAATATACATTTATTGCACCATTAATATCTGAACTATCAAACGTTGAGCTGATTTTGTCATTAGAGTGTCTTTAGCCAACATTCTCCTAACTTTTAGAACGAACGAAAGGACTTGGACTTGAAGACAACATTTATACCCTTAGATAACCTACTGAACATTGGATCGTTGACCTCGACCCTACACTTCGAAACAATAGCCATAATCATAGGATTATGTATGGCTACACTAGCACTAGCACTAGTACAGTAAAGAGAAACGACATCGGTTATTTTTGCCTTTTCGCAGCGGTTCTGCAACCGAGGTATATACAAGCGAGGCAAAAACCGGCTCGGTTCTGAACCGAGGAAAAAAGATGTATGCTTTTGTCTCGGTTCAAATGCAACCGAGGCAGTAGAGAGTGTTTCGCCAAACTTTTGGCCTCGGTTGTTGGTGAATCGAGGTAGTAGAGGAGGGTTTTATGCCTTGTTTTAGAGTTCAACCGAGGCAATAAGTGAGTTTTTTTTTCAATGGGTCATATTCCTCCATTCCTCCAAGAGCATACCTATTTTCAATAGGTAAAAATTGAAATGAAGTTTATGTAATATTTAACGACTTCAAAACATACTCAAAGATCGATTGCTTGAATAAATTATAAAACTCAACCCAGCTAGATGTCGACCACTTCAAATGCGTTTTTTTTCGTCGTTGAATAAGTTTCTCACAAACATTTTGAAAACAGAACAAAAATGTGATAAAAAGCAAAAGAAATGAAATTAACTTAGTACGGGAAAACTATAACAGGAAAATTAATGTGAGTACCACTAAGTAACAATGCACAACAACATCAACTGCAATAATAATAATAATAATAGAACTGGTTAATACAAGATCGAAAAACAAAATCATACCCCCTGCTTGCCCAACTCAGCAGCTCCATGAGCAAAGTGGCATCGATCTCCAAAGGTGCAAGACCCTTTTGCAAAATTCTCACACACCTTGGTCTTGAAGTTGCTTCCAGGTGGAGCAGGGGCACCAGGAACACCCAGGGTGGATTTGGGAGGGGCAAACATTGAAACAGTCAAAAGTAAATCTTTTACCATATTACTTGCCTCCTTTATCTATTCGAATGTTCCCTCAAGTTCAATGTTTCTAAGGTTTGTATCAGTTTCATTCTCTCATATTGAAAGTTTTGCTCCTGTTTGACGACGGATTGAAAGTCTTGGATTGAAACATACCAGCAATTCCTAGGTTTGGATTCAATATATTTCTCTCATGGTACCAAAGTCATAGGCTAAAGCTTATCCTAGTGAAGTTTGTTATTTATTGGGTCTATTGTTTCACCAATTATCAGACCATCCATTTGAAACATATATGTCTTGAGTTGAAAGTCTCACATCGATTAGAGATAAAATTAATTTATAATATATAATATATAAATAGATGCAAACTCCACTTTTTAACAATTTAAAATATTTATGTTAAGTTTTTTTAAACTTCTTTATAAGGTGTAAATTTAATTCTTTTTACATTATTAGCATCTCGTTGTTATTTAAATAATATGATTTTATATTGATATTTATATAATTGTAATTTATTTATTAATATTTAACATTAAATGAAAAAAATTAAAAATGAAATTTCAAATTTATTATAAATGAAGATGGAGATGAGATGAATTTTTACTTTGAAAATTAAGTTCAAAAGTGAGACATTTACTTAGCTAACCTCATTGTCTTTTCGAGTATTCATGAAATAAATATTTTAAATTTAGATTAATTATAATTTTAGTATTTAAACTTAAATGAATGGATATAATCTTCTTAACTTAACTGAGTTAACAAATTTTTACATGTCAAATAAAATTTCTTGCTAGCATTTGAGTTGTTAATAATATTTGTTATGTTTCAATTTAACGTCGGTTAAGAAAACCATATTTATTTATTTTTTAAATTTAAGAACCAAAATGTATCAAAGTTTAAGATAAAAATAATTTGAATTTTGCATCTAAGTTTAAGAAGTAAAAACATATATTTTATCCTTTAGATTTTCATAATGAAATTAATTAAACTGTATAGTTGATTTTTTATGACATTAAAAAAGAATAAAAAGAGATGTATAATACAACTGAGAATTCAAATATTAAAAATATCGTATCGCTCTAAAGATAAAATCAATATAAATATAAATGAACGTAAACCCATCTTTATCAACTAATTATTTCATAAAATTGATTTAGACTTAAAATTTTTCTTTTCTCTTCTTTATATAATTTATTATCTTGGTTATTTGTCTTTCTCTTCTCTTCGTTTTCAATTATCTCCATAATATTGTGAAGAAAAAGTTAATTTAGTAACTATTATTTATAGTGCACGATGAACAATTAATGGCACATCCTCACTCTTTTTACAAATATTATGTTATAATAAAAAATATTAATTGGATAATAGGTGTATGACTCCATACAAATATTCGTACATCATTATTATTCAAAGGAGAGTAAACAGGGAAAGAGATTTTGGAGTGTGAAAAAACAAACCCTTTAGTCTAAAATCTGTCTGAAAATCTCATTCACATCTCTGCGCTTTCATTCTCTTTGAGGGAAAGACTTTCAAAGAGTATCAACCCACTCTCTCTTGTTCCTTCACTTCTTTCTCTCCCTGTTATACTCTCATCTGATGTGTACCCAATAAGAACCACCAGCCCTCTTCTGTATTTTTTCCACCCTTTTTCATGCCTGTTTCATGTTTTTTCCATGCCTTCTCAGCAAATCTTTTGAAGCTCTATTTTTGTCCCTTCTTCCTGTTTCATTTGCGGTATTTTTTTGTTTGATTCTCGTTTAATTTTCTTGGTTTCTTGCTTTCACATGATTAATGCTTTTTTAAGATTACTTCATGCTTACCCTGCATGCCCCTGCTCTTTTACACTCAGCATAGAAGAAGCCATTTTTGACCAAGGGAACAGCCATTCATGACCTGATTCTTTGTCTCATTGCCCCTGCCTTCTTTCATTTATATAAATAAAATTAATAAATGAGAAAAGGAAGTAGAAGGAGAACTAGAATAGAATAAAAAAGAGTGAGGATAAAAAAAATATTGAACAAATATCTCCCACATACTCGTAGCCTTACCTAGCTTGGATATGTTCCTCTCAATAAAGCATAGGAATCACGTAAAGATAGGCAAAAGACTAGATAAACAAACGTGTATGCATGCACTGTTGTTACCCTTTTTCTCCACTTTTCCACTAAGAACAGCATTAGTCTAATTGCATTAAGATAGGCTTCATACATGTCACAATGCTATTTATTCGACTCAGCAGCCGGTTCCTATAAATATTATTTATTACCTAATTTTCTTAATAATTTACTATCGTTACTCTTTTCTATCTTATTCTTTTCATATGGCTAAAATTCATATATTCCATTCCTCGTCAATGCCTCTATTTGTCTTTTCAATTGGTGGCCAAGTCATTTTAATTACTTTTCAATTGTATTTTCTTTACACCAAGTTTATTTTATATGTAACATAATAATATTACGATTCTAAGTGTGAATATAAATATGAGTCTCATTGAGTAATGAACGAGGAAGATAAATACTATATAAAGAAAAAAAAAACACAAATAACCACTGTTTTAAAGTTTTAAGTTCACGTTGGTTTTGAATCTCTTATATAATTTGTTCATGGCTCAAATTGATGAGATGACCGTGGAATGGATGAAAAATCTTAAATTCTTTGAATGAAGAATGACTTAATATAATCTTGATAAAATGTTTCTTAAACCGTCATGGTCTCATTAGATTACCTAGTCTCTTAGTATCTACTTAACCTTAGAGTGTTTGGTGGAGCCGTTTGATAACTAGTCTGTCCTGAAAGGAGAAGCACGACTCACGTATCTCTCTTGTTAGTTTAGACACTAACTGGTGTGTAATTATATCTTGTTCTATATTTTGACACTTGTAATTTTCTCTTTTATCGATGTTGTTTGTGTGATAGATACTTTGCAATGAATTTGTAAGTTAATTTTTAACACTTTTTATTAAAAATCTTCTGGTACACGTACCTTCATTCTTCAAAAATAATTTTATAACATTCTAGGCACTCAATTCCATGTAAAGTGTCTTTTATTTATGCCTTCTAGTAATTTCTACTTTAAGAGATTACGTCGAACGAAGAGACATTGTATTTATCGTCCCACCAGAATGGTTTTTACACTAATATATAAAGTCTCACAACACAACCAACAGAATCACCATCTTGACTCTGCTATTCTAAAACTACTACTACAGTAGCTCACAAGTCATTACTTCCGAAATACTTAATAGTGTTCATAATTCTCCTTGAAAGGTAAATTTTTCTTAATATACTCCTCATTGGACTCTCAAACAATCCCTTATGTGTGGATGTTATATATGTGTGATGTTTCTTTGTTAATGCAGTGCTGTGGAACTTCATATAGGTTCAACCCCTATGAATAGATTTACTAGAGTAGGATAAATGGAAATTGCTATGCTACCATGACACAGTATTCTATCACCCTAGACAGTAGTTCCTATGCAGGTTAACCAAATACTGCATGCTTTTAATAGAAGCTAGGATCATAACTCTTAATGCATTATAGAAGGATTGATAGTATCTCCCATTTTTGTGACTAGGCTACATGCACATACAATCCTTTTCTGTTGCACTGAGAAATGATGGAAGAAAAATTTATTAATTTAGGACCTCAATTGAACATATTGATCAGGAAAATGAGCTGGTCTGGAGGAGATTGGATGTGTGGTGTTTGCCAGCACATAAATTTCAATAAGAGGGAAGTATGCCAGAGTTGTGGATACCCCAAGTATGGTGTACCTGACCCTTCAACCTACAGATACAACAGGACTGAAGCTTTGGCAGGGGACTGGTTCTGCAACTGTGGAGGTCACAACTATGCCAGTCGATCAAGGTGCTATAAATGTGGTGCAGTCAAAGATCATTACTCTTCGGTATATGGCAGCAATTCTGGAGAATATGGATCTGACACTTTCCCCCCAGGATGGAAGACTGGAGACTGGCTTTGCCCAAGGTCCATTCACATTTTCAGTACTCAAAATAGTAACTCTTCCTTATCCTACGTTATCATCACGTTAAACACAGAAAAAAAGCTAGAAATCCATTACTTAAAGTTTTAGGTTAAAGATAATGTCAATGGAGTCATTTTCATTTAATGTAGACTCGCCCTTAAATTCTCTAACACACTACAGCGAAGAACCTGCATAATAGTTACCATATCTGACGCTTAAATTTTTTCCTTCTTCTTGTGTAACAGAATAGGCTGTGGAGGGCATAATTATGCTAGCAGAGAAGAATGCTTTAAATGCCAAATGCCTAGGGATTTTGGTGAGGGACTCTAACTTTTGACGTTTCAGTTGTTCTTTGTTCAAAGTACTCTAAGGATGATTTTTTATTTTTCTCAGTTACACATTACTCTCTGTTACTGCAGACTAGAAGAAGAAATTTCAGATGACCAGCAACATGAATGATTACCCTCAACTTTCTTCTTCAACGACATTCTATGATAAATCATGGATCAAGGCCCTCTGGAATAGTCATAGAATTGCTTTTTCATTAGGATGAAATAAGGATGTTATGTCATATTGCTTCTAATTACTAGTTGTTGTTACAGGTAGTTTTGAAAACCATATTGTTTTCCACATTATACTTATTAAAAAAATTGTGTAGGAGCATCTATTTAATTGACTTCTTTATGTCATGCTGTTCCAAATAAAATTTTGCATAACGAAACTCCAAGACCTTAGTCATCTTTTTATTTTATTTCCCAGAGATTTCTGTCTTTAGACGTTATGGCAGAGAACTCATAGAAAAGTAATTAATGTGCTTTTCCCTCAAAATATATTTTTAATCTCTATATTTATTAAAAATGTTGTAATTCCAGTCATTTGTCAGAAACAATAAAGTCTTATATTTGTGAATAAATATATAGACTATTAACTTACTAAACTTTTTCAAGGATTAAAATAAACATTCTGAAATATTTTTAAGATAAATATAATATTTACGATTTAATTACAGCATAGAGGTGATACTGTCCTGAAAAAAGAAGTATAGAAATGTAACTGCATTAGAAATGTTATATACAAGTAATTTCATATTAAATTAATTTTTGTATTTTTTTTACCTAATTTTTAAACAGTGTTTAGTTTTCGAATACTAAAACGAATGTTTCGAAAAAAATAAAAATCAAATTTTACCTTACTTAAAAAGAGAAAAAAAACCAAAAATAACCAAAAAGACTAAAAATATATTTAACTCTTAAAATAAGTTACGTAAAATGCAACTTTTAATTAGATAACACGGTTTTACTGTTAGTAAAACTTAAGTTGAAAAGGTTAAAAAAGAACACTTTAGTTTTTAACTCTGGTTACCTTGCGTGTGTTTCGAAGGTCTAAAAGAATCAGAGAGAGTAATAAATAGGGGACAATTTAAAATGAATCCCAAGGCTCAAAAAGTTGTGCTGTGTCCTTTTCTCCATCTAGACTTCCCTCACCTTCACTCTCAGAACACTTTTCTCTAAAACTGTGCAACTGAAACCATCAATGGCCACTCTTATTCTGGTCCTTCAGCTTCTGATTCTTGTTATTCCCCCATCTCTGCCACAAAACCTGCACCCAAGCGACCTCACAGCCCTCCTCTCCATCAAGGCCACTCTTACCGACCTCTCTCCCACCAATCCTTTTTTCTCCACCTGGAACCTCACCGCCCCCGATCCTTGCTCTTCCTTCGCCGGCCTCACCTGCACCCTCCACCGCGTCACCGCCCTCTCCCTCGGCGGACCCTCCTTCCCCCTCGCCGGCACCCTCCCAGCCTCCCTCTCCCTCCTCACCAACTTGACTCAGCTCCTCCTCTCTCCCGGTCTCGTCACCGGCCCCATCCCCCTACAGCTCGCCCAACTCACCAACCTCCGCGTCCTCTCCCTCCCCTCCAACCGCCTCACCGGCCCTATCCCCACTGCACTCTCCGCCCTACGCCACCTCCACACCCTCGACCTCAGCTGCAACCAACTCTCCGGCTCAGTCCCCCCGACTCTCACTGACTTGCCCCAACTCAAAATCCTCATCCTCGCCTCCAACTCTCTATCCGGCACGTTACCCAAAACCGTTAACTCCCCGTTACTCCACCTCGACCTAAAAGACAACAAAATCAGGGGACCGTTACCGTCGTCTCTTCCGTCATCTCTCCGTTATCTGTCGCTCTCACAGAACCTCATGTGGGGCCCTCTCCCCAACGGCCTTCAATTGCTTTCCGAACTGGCTTTCCTCGATCTCAGTATGAACCGTTTCGCCGGGCCCATGCCGGCCCAGTTGTTCTCCCTCCCCGCTCTCTCGAATATTTTCTTACAACGGAATAATCTCTCTGGTGGGCTTGGGTCCGGGCTCAGAACCGGACCTGTACCCGGATCCATAGTCGATCTGAGTCATAATTCTCTTAGTGGAGAGCTTTCGAGTGTGCTGGAGGGAGTGGAGAGTTTGTTTCTGAACAATAACCGTTTTGCGGGGGAGGTTCCGGAGGCGTACGTGAAGAGCGTGTGGCGCGGCAGCACCAGATTGCTGTACCTACAGCATAACTACCTCACGGGGATTCCGCTGCAGGAGGGAGTGGTGCTGCCCGATGCGGCGTCGTTGTGCGTGTCCTACAATTGCATGGTGCCGCCCCCTGCGGTCGTCATGACGTGTCCGGCAAGCGCCGGTGGAGTGGTGACGAGGCCGGCGGCGCAGTGTTCGTTGTTTGGTAACACCCGAGGTTGATGGATAAACGGTGCTTAATTATTTATTTGGATTGATCATGATGTAATGTTACTGTGTGTGCAACTGCAACCGCGTCTCATTCACTGCTATTCAATGCTTGTTCTTTTCTTTTTGGATTTTGATTCATAATAGCCAAGCTCAAATGCCATACTTTTTTTTTTCTTTTCTTCATTTTGTCATACTTTTTCTTTTCTTTTCTTCATTTTGTCATACTTTTTCTTAATTTAATATTTTTTATACGATTTAAATCATTGAGGTGTTTTTAACGTGAATTGGTAGTGATTTGCTATTTTATTTTGAACTTTGATTCTTGTAGTCGGCAAAATTCTACGATGGTATAAGGTTACGTGTTCACAAGTAAATATTCAGGGTGTGGTTAAATATGGGCTCGAACGCATTTGATCTCCTTAGTCTCTTTTAACTTAAATTCTTAAAAGTCAAAAGCACCAATGTATTTTTTTTCTAAATAAATAAATTGTTCATTCCTGTTGATAATACTCGTTTATTTGGCCCAGTTCATTAAAAGAGTAGTTTGTTTTCTTTTTTCTTTATTTCAAGTTAAAATTTAAAATTTATAAATACTACTTATTTTAAAAATTAAGTTTATAAAAATTATTATTTTTTACTACTTTAAAATAAAATTAAAGATAACTAAAATTATTAAAATTCAACATAGAAGTGGAACTGTCACTTGTTTCAATGTTTGTGAGTATCTGCTGCTAACAAAAGTGGTGCTAGATAATTCCTGATTCCATACATCACAGGTATTATGAAAACAACCACTTTAATACCCTCTTCTATTCTCTCTCTTATTCTGTCTCACGCTAATCTTATTCCTGTGATTATTTATTAAGAAAAAATAATAAGCTTCTGTTTAAATAATCTTACTAGATATAATATTTAATTTCCATTCTTCTCTTATCTTATGTGCATTTGCGTTTTCTATCTAAGTTTTTGCTCATATAAATTTAATAAAAAAAAAGAAAATAAACTTTAAAAAGAAATAAAAGAAGCATTGCAAAAAAATTTAAAAATATATTTAACGAAAGATTCTAAAATATTTACAAAAGAAAGGATCAAAAGATTAAAAAAACGAAATATCGAAACTCTCACTTATGAAAAACCTTTGGATTATAGAATATTTTTTATTCTATTGTAATATTTTACAATTCAAAAAACACAAATAAGCATAATTACCAAGTTTAGAAGTCATAAAAAAATTTCCAAACACAAATGTCTTTCTCATAAGTATAATGATGACGGCAATGATTTTATTTATTTTTAACCACTCCATGAACCACGGGTTTCTTCATAGTTTTTTCTTAATTTTAAAAATTACAATATATTTTTTACTAATTTTAAAGAATCACCCATGCTTTTTTAATTAAAAGTTGACTGAGTGTTAATAATATGATTAGTTGAGTTAACTTTAGTTTAAATAGTTTTATGTTTACATCTCAGTTTTTTAATTTTTCTAATCTCTTATTAGATGTCTTTTTCTCTTCTAAGTTGACATTTTTTATATAAAAAACTTATGTTTTTTAGTAAATCTCTTTGAAGAATGAATAAAATTCTCCTTTGAGTCATCTTTAAGAATTATTTTCTATTACTTTATTGTTTTGAAAACCTTTTCAAGTATTAAATCCTCTTAATAAATATCATTTAGGAATTTTCTTGGAGGTAGAATGTTCTATTAATTTTTCATCCTTCAATTTATTTTCTACTTCACGTTACAACTTATTCACATTTCCTTATTTTTCCTTGAATATGTTGTATCCAAAACTTATTGTTTTTGTTATAAAAAATTAATAAATGTACTAGATCTGGATAAGTTCAGATATCATTTTTCATATAAACTTATTTTGTTCAGAAAAATCATGTTTATTCACTAATTAAGACTAACATATCACTAACATAGCAGCAAAAGTAAAATAGAAAACTAGAAACTATGAAATTAAAGAACAAGCAGAAAACAACTAATTACAATTAATCAGAAAGTAATTTCAGGATTAATAATCTTGTTCGAATCAAATTCAATTATGTTCGAAAAGACCTCTTGTTAACTAAAGCCCACTTAGGTTTTTCCTTGGATTCTAAAACAGAACCTCTGTTATGCAGATCTTAGGAATTATCAGCCACCCAATAACCACATAAACATTCACTATAGACATCAGAATTGTAACCACCTCAGGATCATTAACAGCACCATCAATTTCGTCCAACATTCAAGCATAGACCCAAACAATGTAAGCAATCACCAATCTTTTCCATTAAGCATTACACATCACGAAACACTATAACATCATAGTTACACATTAGAACCTAGATGAACTCACTCTACAAAGTCCCAAAATCATTGCTATGATATCATTAATGTAACGTCTCAAAACTGAAAGTCACTTACGCACATCAAAACTAAAGTAAAGTCTTGCAATGTAATTAAATTTTTCCAAAGACTTAAAGTTATTACAAATGAAAACAGAAATTTCTGAGTCTAACAAGAAAATCAAGAAAGTATTACAAATCCTTTTCATAAATAAATAAAACTTTGAAACTGAACTCCCATAGTATCTGCATATAAATCCAGATACTCAATCATATAAATCCAGTAGCATCTGCATTCCTATCTGAGCTCCCGCATAACCCATACATTATACGATTATCACCACGTACACAAACAACACAAACATTATATGGGTGAGCTATGCATTCAACTAGCATAAATATTATATAATAAGAATAAACAAGCAACGATACTCAAACCCACTCTTATTGTCTCTCACAATCAAAGAGATCTCCTTTCCTGCTTCACATAGGCAAAAAGAAGACCCTGACTTAATAAGGGTATTCTAACCAACTTTCTACTCCACTTAAAAGCTCCGAGTACTCTCAAAGTCTATCCATACCAACCTTACTTTGACATTTCTAACTCTATCATTTCTCAAGAGTTCACCAAACATGATTAGACAACTTGAGAGCAAAAGATATCACATAAGACAACAAATTCAATCAAAGTGATATTGAACAACCATATAACACCTATCATACAACACCCGTGAACAAAACTGTCCAAGCATAATTAAGATCAACACAATCACTCCATCCAACAATATACACACTAAATAGCCATATTAATGTTAAGCAGTTCATAAGCACTATTTGAACTACTTAAAACAACCATCAACTTCTCAATTTCATTCCAATATTTTTAAATGCACAATAAGTATACTATCTCTACATCACAAGCTATCAATTTATCTCCACCAGCCTCATTGATTTATATCATAACCAATCATATACAAATCTGGAATTAATTAAGCAAAATTATAATATCTATAACCTTCGTACATCTTCAAACATAATCAACCAAGTTCATTATCAATATATAAATGTCTCTGTACAAACATTTTTATTTAGTATCCATAGCACTTATTCAACTACAAATTTATTATTACCAAAATGGCAAACATATTAACAAAGCTAAAACAATGTTACACTTATTCTCCCATTATATAAATACACCTAACAACTTATAATAATTAATAAACTCAAACAGATTCAGTATTATAGTATCAAGTGATTTCATATCATTTACAAATTTAAACACCCAGCTTACATTTGACCAAATTTGCATTATAACAACTTTATTTATCCAACCATTTTCACAGATTTAAAATTACCTAATAAGTAATTTAGGTGAGCTACAAATCACTAAAGTTGTGTTTTTAAAATCTGAACAACAGACAGTAGCAAATATACCCCTTTACCCTTATCTCATGCCACTTAAACCCATCTGACTTCAATAGTTATTGTGCATCGTAACACATAACAATGAATGACATAACCTGCAATTCCAGCAGATACAGATAGAATACATCCAGATGTATATATCATATTAAGATTGATCATACCCCTTTAACACTCCATTTTGACGTAACCAACCAATCCATAGACAATGTATAAATCATACCATCAATTTACTTTTCTAACATCAATCCTGAAATTTTTTTTTTTCAGCAAGGATAACAAGGCATTATACCAAAATTATAATAGCAACCAACAAGCCTTTTATGCAGTTTTTACCGTCATTAAGAAAGCATATTATGTCATATTTACAACAATTACAGCAATTATTTTATATCATTTTTACAGCAAATACAGCAAGTAGATTCTGCAGATTTTTAACCCAAAACAGCAAAACTTTAAAATTCTAAACAGAATTTTCGTTCAATCAGCAAATAGCAAATTTCTGATACAACATTTTTATTCAAACAGCAACATTTTTCTGAACAGAAACAGGGTAAAAACAGTAACATTTTCATAGTAGAAATAGAGTAAAAACAGTAGCATTTTTCATGGCAAAAGCAAGGAAAAACAGTAGCACTTTCATGACAGAACAAAGTTTAAACATCAGCATTTCTAGTGTAAAAAAAATAGCAAAACAACAAGTTTTTTTTTACCCATTTTATTAAACTAAAGAATTATATTGAACCAAATGATAGTCACGTCACACAAGCACTCCATAAACAGAAACACATATCTTCTATATGATTCATTGCAGCTTCATAATTAAAACTGGACAACAAGACTCTTTTATGTCAAACAAGAGTTCAAATTGAGCATAAGGTCACTCTATGTCTGTCATATTTTTTTATTCTACCAACTGACACAGCATGCATACTTTTTAATAATCCCAAACATTCAAATGAAAGAATGTACAGATAGGCAAATAGACAAACACAAGTCCAACTCCTTAGACAACAGCCTTACAACATGAAACACCACTTCTCACACCAACAGATAACAAGGCATCGAAACCAGTTTCAATTCAATAAACTTAGAACAAAAGTACCAACTTTACTGTCACATGTACACACAATCAAATTTCAATCCATAAATACAACAATTTTATAATTAGTGTATCATTGTATTTCAACTAAGTTCCCATTTTAGACATGGACGCAGTCCAAGTCCAATTACCATAGCCAATTATCAGACATATGAAACACGAGATATTGAACATCATAACATATCATCGAGACATGGCATGCTTCAAATTTACTTTAGAAAGTCTCTTAATGGAATTATCTCTTTAAAATAACATCCACGTAGTATCACAACGTTCATACCGATAACAGAGCTCATGCCAACCAACATAAACATGGATGGCACCCAATT